ATTACCAATGTAATTCTTTTTATTTCTCTCTTGCTTTTGTTCCAATTGATAAACGAGTGACAGCCATGTGACGTTACAGTGCGGGGAAACGAAGCATATGGAATAAATTTTCGACTGTGTATGAACTGATAAGCATGAAAAATAATGGTATGCCGTCGAGAGAAAGTCGAAAGAGAAGTAAAACCAAAGAGATTCCATCATTTTGAAATGTTCACAGACAGACGAAAGAAAGGCAAATTGGTATAATTTGGTTAGAATTGGTTTTTTTTTCAACTCCATGTCTTTGTCATTTGCAACAGATTTGTGTCTCATTTTATGCGTTCGTATAATTATATGTTGTGTATTCAGTGAACTATTCACGAAGATAGAATGAGAAAAAGAACGAAACAAAACGCAGTGTCGCTCATTTTTTGTGTGGCTTAAACAATGCGACGACGTTGATCCACCACCACCATCGCCATCACCGTCGTTCCTGCCATCTAACTTAAATTCGCATACAATATTCGCTGTGACTGTGAAGTATCATTCTCGCATTTTGCACTGTTTGTTCTCCTAATTTTTATGCAAAATACAAAAAAGTTTCTCTTTATGGCAACGAAACAGAAAAAAACACTTGAGCTTTTCGTTTCAAATGAAATTGAGCCAAACAATTTCCATTCAATGAATATATGCTCCATTTCTTCCAATGCTTAAATCGTATTCAAACACACACACACCCAGAAGAAGAAGAACGAAAAAAAAATAATTCAAAAGCGTTCATGCAATTCAACGTCGAGCACTTTTTATTTTACGCGTTCATTTTTTGTTTCATCTCTCGTCCTTAACTTGATTCGCTGCCATTTGTATATTGTAAATAAAGAACGAAAAATGTAAATGGAGACTAACAATTTTCGCGCAGATATTCGAAAAAAACGCTTTATTTGGAAATGTGAAATTCCCCAAAATTTGTTCAACCGATTTTGTCACACGCATCTTTATAAAGATATTATGGTGTGCTCGTCTCATCCAAATTCTGAATTTCAAGCTGATGCCAATTAATTTTTAGTTGCTCTTTCTCTCCCTACGCATAAGGTGTGTGCCCGAGCCCGTAGAAAATTGTCGTTCGCATATGGAAAAAAAGCGCGCGTGTGTAAAACGGATCATAATTTTCCAGCTCGTTTTTCTCTCAGTTTCGTTCGCATGAGTGTTTTTTATGTCAAGAATATTTGTTAACATAAATTTACATAAACATCAACATGAGAGAGTGAAAAAAAATTCATTCCATGAAATTAGAATTTTTTTTTCCCACTTGCTTTGCTCGTTGCTAAAATATAAAACCATAAAAGGACTCACCGCAGTTGTCCTTGGGAATTAAGTAGTTACATGTTTTGTGAAATGTGTATGAAAAAAAAATGTAATGTACATTTTACTATACAACAACACACAAAATTCGTTACTCAACATCTTAACGCATTCCTCGGCGTGGAATCCGTACAGCCAGCGACAAGGTATCAGTGTAATAGTTCAACTCAAATAGGAAATTGTACGTATAATATTACAACGTCGACGAAAATTATTCAATTTCAGTTCATTAGTTTGTTGGAAAAAGAATAGAGTCATCAACGTCGGTGCCTCGGCCACGTTTCACCGAAATGTCAGCAATGGTGTAAAAATGTTGAAACTGGTTGCGGTTGCCGAGTGCTTGGCTCATTTTGCATTTTCGACCGAATAAATAAATAACAAGCATCCGAAGCTGTGAAAACAAGTCATTTCTCATTCTCAAATGACTGTGTACAGTGTACACACGTCAGTCAGGCGATTATTGCTGCAAAAAATGTAAACCTCAAAATGAAATTATCGTGCATTTCTCTGATTTTTGTTTTGTTTTTATCTGCCGTATCTTTTGTTATCTGGGGAATACCTTTGACGTGCATTTTCAGCAGAGATTTTCTGAAGAAAAAAAATCACATTGGCCATGATTATTGTCGTACAGCAGTCACCAACCGAGCCATGGTTCTTGCCAGTCGTCAACCGAACATATTTTCAATGGGGCAGGTAATTGTAAAAAAGGCTGCCGATAAAGTTTATAGATTAAAATAATTACAAGTAAACTCAACCAGAATTCCGGTGTGTTCATTTTCAGTGCTTGGCAGGAAAAAAAAACTGTCAATCGCATGCCAATTAGAAGGCGATAAATTTAAATTTTACGTTCATACAAATAGAGGACGACGACAAAGAGGGACAAACGTGTGCTCTTTCCAACCATTCATTACATAAACGAGGCGTGTAATACGGTTTTTGTTATGTCTATAATCATTTAAAAGCTTATTCAAAGCAACTGGACCGAAATCAATCCGCTTAAAAAACCCAGCTAATTATATCAACCACTCAACATCCAGCTTATGTTGTACCATTAGATGTATGAATGAATCTCAATTGCGATTAGCTTTTGGTTTTGCTTTACTTGCACTTTCTAAACGTACTACAATGTGAAAAAAAAATTCGACGGTGCAGTGTTCAATGCGAGTGAGCAAAGGGTGAATAGTGTGAAATAAGTGCTCAATTAATTGAATGCTTCACAGCGTTTTTCTTTCGTTTGGCGTTGTTGTTGTGTGCTCTAATGATGTTTACGATAAGAAAACACTGCTGCTGGTCATTACAGTATTTGTCGTTACAGTTGAAGAGTGGAGTGCAACCGAAATAGAACTGCGCCAATAGATGTTTTCATTTCTTTTGAGCTCGCTTTTTCCGATGGAAAAATGTATGGTGTGCTTTGAGTTACGTACGTGTACATCCAATTACCATGAATGAAAATTCCGTAAGTGACTCTTGTGCTGTTTCCATACAATTAGGTGGAAACAGTGCACAAGGTGCAAATCTCACGAAGTGCAACGGGAATGAATACAACACACTCTTGAAAGAGTTTCAGTCACCAAGTGAAGAGATGAAGAATGGAAAAAAAAATGCTGTACACCGTCTCCGACTTGCGCGCTCGCTTGTTGGTTTTGTTTGTCTGATAAAATGCCATTAAATTATGTAGATGTGCTGTTGTGCACTGGAGAACTTCATCCAAAGAAAACACCATTCAAAGTCAACCATTGCAATGGAGCTTGATGTGACGCGCTCTTCCGAAAGCGATTTCTTGTTAAATATTTGATATTTCAATGAGTGTGGCAATGCTGCATACTCCAACAAAAAAAAGTCTCAAGATACAACTGCAACGCTTGCTGATTCACATCGAGCGGCTTTCTTTGGAAAGTGTCGAGGGTTGTGCTCTCCCACTCTCGCTGGCGGAGCATCAATGAGAAAAATGACTAGAATGACGTTTGGTTTGGCGCCATCTGCAGGGTGGAAGTATTTTGCAATACAAATACGTTCTATTGTTGCTGTCATTGATAGTTGGCAGTATATTTATATAGAAGTTTCATAGTTCAGCATTCAGCGTCAAGATGTCGCTTAAATATAGCATAAACATGTGCTCTGTATAAAAACATAGGCAAATTTTATGATTGGGAGCATAAATTCATAAAAATACAAAGAAGTGAGAGTGAAGAGCACTCAACACGTAGCCACGTAACATTGTTGATAATGATGTGACTACAAAATAAAAATAACACACATTTCAAATGGATTATAGAGACATGTGATTGCATTATATCGCAAGCATCGGCATCGAGCACTAAGACGATATCGACGACGTCAATACGTTTCAATAAAGATTAAAACGAAACCAATCATCACAAATGCATGTACTATATATGCCATATGGGATGTTATTCAAAGACGATTTTCACAGCGTGTCAAAAGGTGGCTTTATTTGGAAAAGTACGATTTTCCTTTGCCGATGATGTGACACTTTGGTATTTCCATTAAAATTTGTTAAGCTAAAAGGTTGAACATTGCGTGCATTTTGCGAAAAAACATTCATTCAAACGGGTTTCAACCAACAAGAATATAATCAATTCAATTTGAGTAAAATGATTTTTCGAGAAGCATCGGCTTTCTTTTGCTCATTCTGGGAATTAATTCAGAGTAGATTACTAAAGAAATGGGCCATGATATCGATATAACTCTCGATACGAAACTTTTTATGTATTCTCAAACATACGCTCCTCTGGCAAAGAGCGAATATTTGAATTGCGTTTGACGCAACTATGAAACTTATGCCTTATAGAAAACTTATTTATTCCTTTGATAAAGGTCACATCTTTGGGTTTTTGACTAAAAGTGGTTCACCATTTCTTTGCCAAGAATAAACACGAATTCATATCACAAACAACTTTGATTTTGTATTGAAATTACCAAACGATACCCAACAATCTTTTGTTTAACTCTCTCTCCCAACGGAATGTGCTCAATCTTTGTTCGTTTTCAGATTGAGATTGTTCAGCTGCAAACAAATACTTGAACTTTTCGATTCATCCCCTCCAGAAAGGCTTTTACTTGGGTGGGCAATGGATATTCCACTTCTGATTGTGTAATTATTGTATAATGGGGCAACGTTACTCTTCGAAAAATGGCCATAAAATAGCCTTCGGCATTATTCCCACTATTTATCTATCCATTCCAGTTTGCCTTGGCTTTTACTATAATAAATAAATGATGTCCGAGAATGAAAACGCAACTTCTATTCAAAACACATATAAGTGAAACAAAAATAAAAAATTTATTGAAATGAAACAACAAAGTCGAATTTTTTCAAAGTGTAACATCGGTATGTAGTAAGTGTAACAACATACCGATGTTACACTTTAAAAAAATCTTTTTTGTTGTTACACTTTGAAAAAATTCGATTTTGTTGTTTCATTTCAATAAATTTTTTATTTTTGTTTCACTTATATGTGTTTTGAATAGAAGTTGCGTTTTCATTCTCGGACATTCAAATAAAACTTGATTCATAATACAAGTGGACCGATTCTTTGTTCGGATCGATTCGATTACACTAATGTTAACCGAATGAAGCGAAACTATTTTAATGGTCACTTTTGTGTTTCTCTTTCTCTATCTCTCTCTCATTTCAGTTCGATCCATGATGGAATGTTAGCCGATAATCCGCATTTAGTGCTGTTATACTACTTATCTCAATTGTTTCTGAGGGAACTGTTCAAAAGCTATCGTCTTATACAAGTAGTACCGATGGATATGTCCGGTTATTATGGTGAGTACGTTATTTGAGTGCGAACGAGTGATTCTCAGGGAAAAGCCGATTGATGTCGATGACAAATTTGAACGCTAATGCGGTGTAATCACTTGATTGAAATCGATTTTCCTTACTTATGATTGTGATCAACTCTGGAGTGCGTTCGGTATATTTGAATCACATTCATGCCATTTTGCAGATCAATCTGTGCAGATTGACCATGATTATCGGCGCACGATGTCTTCGAAAAGTGTTGAGAAAAAGCAATTTCATTGTTATTAGTATTTAATAGATACGTATACGACGTTCGAGAAGATATGAACCAAGGGGGATATCACCGTAAAACAATCGTTTTTAATGCCCAAAATTATTGCCTCAGAAATTACTTTCGCCATTGATTTATGCTTTAACTTGTGATTACTCAGAAGATCGTCAATTGAAATTTTGGTTTTGAGTAATTTTCCCCTTGAAAAACACGCTCCATAAAGATACCACGCAAAGCAGTCATTTATTGACTTATATTTTTCATCAACGCAAAAATGAATCTTTTATTTCATTTGTTTTCCCATCATCAATGCTTCATCCTTCCTTGCTTGGTTTTTTTTTCAGATAATCGAGCCGGACCATCGAATTTAGGAAATGTAATTAGTCAAATTCTATTATGCAAGCAGATAACACCGGATTTTAATGCAGAGGAATTATGTAGCATCACCAAGGATTCTCAAGACATCGCCAAATTGCTATCCGATATGCAAGAGTATATACCGAACCAAGAAACATATTTAGGTAAGTAATATATCGAAATCATTTTCCGATTGATAGGCGCACATTTGTACCTTGTCATATACCAATAATAAACTCATATATGATAAAAGATATGTTATGTATAGGTAAATATCAAAATGCTTCTCGATTCTCGTTTTTCCCCTACAGAAAAAGCGACGGCAATCGATGATGTGAATGGTCCATGGCCAGCGAAGCGTCGACGTAATTCGATTTACAAAAATATGGGACTCTTATGCTGTGTATCACGACCGAATTACTTGTGAAAAATATGCATTCGTTCAATCTAAAAAGAAAAAAACGTTAAACAAAAGTAAACCAAAAAAAAAAAAATATTCATCATCGATCAAAAAAAGACACAAAACTACACGGTTCGTCGTTTTCCCGAATAATGTATCCTCGTTTGAGTTTTTATTACATACATATTTATATATTCAATGTGATTTTCGAAATTAATTTTATTAGCCGTAGCCTAAAATAAAATCAATTTCATTTTAAATAGCCATTTTAGTTAAGTAAAACCAACAACAAAAAACCAAAAGGATAAATAATAATAATATGAAAAACACCACATGCAGAGAGGAATGAAAAGTGAAAAATACTCGTATGTATTATATATTTGTATTCATAAATTAACGAACCTATAGAGTTTACTTGTATCAAATAGAAAATTGCACTAAATTATAAGTTTAACATTTCAATTGAACCATACACACACGGACTGAATAGCTGGATGTAATTGACTGATTGATGAATGCGAGCGAAAGCACGCGCCCACGCGACCTATTGGCATTCAATTGTAAAATGTAGTTTTTTCTAGACGAGAAAATATTCCCAAATGCTCAAACCGGAAACTAAATTCCAAAATCCATTGAACAGTTACTCTTTTTTCCTTCCTGTGGTTGAACGCAGACAAAAAACCGGATGTTTACACAATGCAATAATGGTTTGTTAGTTCAAATAATTTCAATGTGAAAAATGAGTTGTTATTTTTGCCGTGAAAAATGATTTTAAAATGAACATCCGATTGAATTTCCAACCAACATGAGAAATATACATACAAAAACCCAACATTCAAATGAAATGGTAAAATAATTTACGGACATGTAACAGTCAATCATTCGAACAATTAAAATGTTGACGTCGCGTTTTTTTTCTTCTCGTTGCTACCACTCGGCGTATTCATTTATAAATAAAATCATAAATAAAACTCGGTTCCCTGTATAGCGGATGTTTCGAATTCAAAATTTCATTAAAATACAACCACGTCGTTTGTTAATCCTCGTCATTGTATCGCGTGGGATGGAAGAGAGATGAAAAAACGGCGCGTCCATATATCAGTGTAAACATAAAATTCTCAACCACATAAATACAAACATGCAAGCTTTTTTTTTTGGTTTGTTGGATGTGCTTCGGTTAAATTCGTTTTGTGGCTGTAAAAAGCTTTTATTCACATCCTCAATCGACTGTGTATCCAAATAGAGACACTCAACCACACAGATATACACTCGCATACAGCTCAGAGAGCACGCAGCAAACAATTCAATACACAATTCACGAAAATGCAACAAACCACACTTTACATATTATTTACAAAATATATCCGCATTTGTGGAAGAAGACATGCGAGCTGGAGTACTTCAGTCCATGTATGTGTACCACTGAATGACTTTCCAATCTGGCGCTTGTGTTTAAATGCAATTCAAATATTTGTACAACGCCCGCTGAAGGCAGTCTCGTCATTCGCATACGTGCTGCACAACAGAAAAAAACGCTTTAATTTTCAAGAGCTACGGGCTTTTTTCACCCTCCGGTCACTCTCTCTCGCTGTCGGTGCGAACTGACTTGCAACTGAATATATTTATTTTTTTAGGTCAACTAAAGTTTGAGCTGTGATTTTAATTTGGTGTATCGAAACTAGTGTATATGTGGTATTTGGTATCATTCTATCGCAACGTGCCCTTGGAGGTGTTGATACACTCAGACACTTCAATACATATATGTGAAGTTTAAGTTCGAAACTGAATGACAGAAAAAAATGCTGTGCACGAAGAAGATAAACAAAAACATGTTTCGTTGTTGGCATTTCACTACTAAGAAATCGCTGGTGGTAACGATTCGTTTTGTATGTGACAACACATGGCTCTGTAGCTTATAATATGCATAATTTTTCTTTTCGGGCGACGAAAAACACACACACACTCCCATCTGAAGAAATGGAACGCATCTAAAACCACCTCGTTACAATGAGGAATCGATTTCTATTTTTCACGTTTACTATGCAGCAGGGCGCACATCGAACGCGTGCATGTCGTGGCTGAAATTGGATTTCTATTCTAACAGAATAGTTTTTTTTCTTCTTCTTTCATCTTATTTCCAGTTATTTTATCAAATTACCGTTGTTCGTAATGCACACCGAATGCGCCACCCACAAAATGCATATGCGAAAAATCATCGCCTGTCGACAAATTATATTCTTTATATGCAAATTGCTTCTTGCACATCCATTAATATTATAAGCTCTGATGAAATGAGCTTCCAACTATCTCTTTCTTTTTCAATTCGACAGCAGAAGCAGAAGCTGGAGAAGCATCCATCCCCATTTCCCGTTTTTATTCGGGCAAACATAAACCAATTTCGCTCTTTTTTTCATTATTTCATCGCATAAATTTAAATATGTTTTCCCCCCTTTGAAGGATACCGCTCTGTTTTTTCCTCGTCTCTATACGGTACACACACTGCACATGTTTCCATGTATTTAAATTAGATGCGAATAAATTAAAACATATGTAATTTTTGCTGGTGATAAAAAAGCACACACACACATGATTTATGCTTTGCCCATCGTCGAATGCATTTGATGTGTGAAATATTTGGGTTTTGGATGTGGTTCGGGCAGCATCGAACACCGTTTCATTTTGGGACGAGCAGTTTTGATCGGTACTTTGGTCACCATGTGCAAATAAGTGCGGATGGCTGAAAATGGTAAAACCTTTAATTTATAGTGACACTGGATTTGGTGGATGTGTGAGAGCTTTTTTTTCGTGTGTTAGCGGTTGGCTGAACAAAATATGTTCGTTCGAAAGACACTTTCTCTCCCATGTCACACACACACATTTTGACAGCATAATAAAAATGAAAATTCACTCGGGTGTCAAACAAAAGCAGCTAGTGATGACAAATTATATTGAAATATATTCCATGTGTTTTGAATCAATAATAAATTGGGTTTCTGCCTGTTTGCGCCCAATTGATTAAAAATTAATATCACAGCAACATAGTTGCCATTTGACATGGAGCTACAAACGAAAAAAGTAGCACCACGAGAAAGAAGAAATGGTGTGTTTAGTTCTGCGGTCGAAGGTGACTCATTTATGGCGGCTGTAAAAGCGCTTGTTCCAAACATATACATAAAAGAATCCACGGTATTTTTACGACAATCTGTTATTGTGCACAGTAAATCGCTACCATTTCTTTCGCGTGTAACATTTTTTTTATAGAGCTACCACAGAATCCTCAATGACAGTTGATCCACTTAGACACTCGTTCTTGTAAGTGTGTTTTTTTCGCCTCGTTTCCATAAATCTCGCCTATTTTCGGAAATGATGAAAAGGTGCGTTATACAGACATAGCTTGCACGTGGAACTGATACACATGTTTTTATTTCATATTTTCATAAAATTCACAAGAATTGGAATTTTCGTGCCAGTCGACGTCCATGATTGGATTCAATTTGACAGAGGATGCCTCTGTGTGGAAAGGATGAGAAACGGGACAATTGTTTTTAAACAGCAATCTTGTGTTGCGACAGAAAATAAAACACGAGAGAA